TTTTTTTTTCTGTCAATCAAAACGTTATTAAAGTTTTATAGTACAAAATTGTTGAGGTTTACAAAAAATAAAAAAAACATAAATACAAAATTATAAATGTAAATACAGAATATTACTAGTACCTGTACCTGTAAGAACAGAATATTAACAAAATAAAATTACAAAATATAGATGGCAAATAGATCCAATGTCATTTAATTAAAAGTGATATCAACAAGTACATTTTTAATAAAGAAGACTCTATACATATATCTCGGTTTGATTCTTTGTCAGAAATATTTATCAGCAGAGTTAAAATAACTATTAATTTAATTCAACCATTGAAAAATTCTTTTTTAGCTCATAATTTACTTTTTACTACCTATTTTTCATTGTTTACATATGTGCCTGTGTAAAGGTTTAGTTGGTCCTTTTTACCCCAACCGCATGCAAACTTTTACAGAGGTTTATAGAAAAACTGTTGAATCTAACATAAAAATAACAAAACATATTATAAAAAATTAAATAACATATACTTAAGTATTATAATATAATCAGGTATCGTAAACTAAACAGTACTTCCTGAAACTAGAAAAACTTACAACTTAAAACTTAATTTGAAAAATACTCTTGTTAAAAATATGTCGAAGTGGCCGTTTATCTTGTGATATCGATGTCGTCGGATTTAATAAGATGGCTGATTAAAAATCTTCTACCCTCTAAAATAGTATCATTATTAAAAAATACTACACTCTACTTGTTTTCAAGATTAAGGCGGACCTTTTCATTCTCAGACCTTTAAGCCCCGCTCTACCGTATTTATATTACATAATTATTATGTTTTACACTATTTTCCCCTACATTTGTACATTTAAACGACTAGGACTTAAATATTCTAAAATTCTTGAAGCAGCCCCACTAAAGCATATGTGTATATGGTCACGCCACCCTGTATGGCTGGAAATCCTTATAGCGGAAAATTTGAATTTAACGTTTGCGGAAATTACTTCTGCCGGTCGTAAAGAAATATATAGTGCTATTTTATAGTAAATATTTAGATAGTTTGATATAAAGAATTATACCACTTGACTGCATATTGAATCACTAAAATTTGCTTAATTATCGATGCACAAAAATCCCATATGATTATAATAAAAATTAAACTTTTTTATTATTGATATTATAAAATATCAATGATAATAATACTATTGTACAAGCTATTAAAATAAGATTAATATAAAGCTAAGAATATTTAAGAGAAAAATGTATAGTCACACCAGTGAGTATTTTTCTAATTAATGTAAAATACTCGAGAATGATATGTTTTCCATCGGGCAAAAAGTACTAATACATTTCGTTTCGAAACCTTTTTTGTTTAAGATTCTGTATCTTTTAAATGATTGTTTTTAACAAAGAAAATAACATAAGTTCAAATAATTTAATTTTAATAATAAAGCTTTAAGCTCAGGCCAAAAGTTTTTAAAATTGAACCTAACTGCTAAGAGTTGATATATGCTATCAGTATCAAAATATCTATACTAAAAGTATCAGTTTATTAATCAATTAAAAAAATAACTAATAGATTATGTTCTCTTAAAATATTTTTATACTATTTTGTTATTTCTGTTTGGCAACATAATATTATTTTTCATAGTTTGGTTTCCATTTACTATGTTGCTACAATGTTTTCATCACAAATGGCAACAGCAGTTTGAATTTTTATGAATGTTTATAAATTTATTTATTATACTCATATCTATAGTAACATTTAATCATAAATGAATTTGTAACAGTTCACATATTTTATTTTCCGATGCTCTCCAGCGAATCACAAAACAATACCCAAAATCGACAATTGAAAATTAATTTGAGCATTGATTTTTTTATTGTTTACTAATTTTACACGACTAAATTATTACAATAGACATAACAAAATTGTTTAGAGTTCTGTACTAAGACTCTAAAATTTCTCACTAATTTGCTCTTAATATTAAAATATAATCTTAAAATAAGGTCCGACATTTATTTTATAAAATGTTATAAAAATAATACTGATTTTTTTCTCTATTGTTTTTATTTTGAAGGTATCCATTTTTTTTTTGAAAATGCTATAAAAAACTATTTTTTTAAAATGGTACTGAATGTTTTCTCAAATTTAATTTTGTATTTGAAAGTACATTCAAAAAATTATAAATGGCTACCAAAAAAAAGTTAGATGGCGCACTCTTTAGTAATTTTGTTAAATAATAATAAAATTTGTAAAATAATTTTTGATAAAATATATTTATTTTGTAGATTGCTTATTATTTGTTTTCCATGAATTTATGTGAATGAGTTGCTTAGGCAAAAAGTTCACAATTGACTGCACAATTGCAATATTTTTATTTTAAATATAGATTTGATTTTAATAAAATATACAAAGTAAATTAATTGTATTCGTGACATTATTTATTATTATTTAAATAATTATTTAAATGGAGAAGGCAAACTATTTCAAAGATGGACTCAACTACAAAAATATTATCAATTATATTTCTTCAAATATAATCAAATCAAAATGATCTTTAAAGGTGCATAATTATTTAAAAAAATGTTAAATTAGTGCAGGGAAAAAAATTTTGAGAAACACTTTTATACAGTAAATTTAGAAATCTGTGACGTTTACAAAATTAAACATTTTCTAACGTCACAAAATCCCTATAACGACATAAATCAAAATGTATTGTTTTTTTATCACTGTTTATAAAAGCTTGCTTGTTTATTTTTTCGGCAAATTATTTATGATTTATGGTTTATACAGTATATAGCAAATTACATTATATTATATACATAATATATATTGTTATTATATGTACCCAGTAACATTTTCGTCATATATTAATAATTTGTAATATTAAATTTTAATAAAAAATCAATAGGATAATTGGAAACTTCTAGATAAAATTGGGCTCTAAATACATGCATATTTAATAATTGGTTTATATTCTTTGATACATATTTTTAGCTCAGTTTAATTATATATCATGACCGTGAAAAGTTTTATAAATAAGACATCACCTATAAGGTTTTGGTTTTAGCTGTAAAAAAGTAAAAGTAGAGTTTTTTTTGATAGCGTAGTTTTTGTTTGGCGTTCGTTGAATGATAGAAAATCAAATCGAATTTTGTTTGTTATATTCTGCTTTTTTATTTCTGCAAAAGCATCTTAAGCTCACTAAAAGTTAGGAGCTGTTTATGGTGACGCACTTTCAAAAAAGCAGCTGTGGCAATATTTTTTTTTTTTTTTGTGGCAATATTGGTTTGCAAAAATCGTTCTGGTGATTTTTCACTCACTCAAATATGACTAAAGTTCTACTCGTTCAATTGAAGTTGATTACAAATAAATTGTCTACTTTAACTATTACCAACCAACCTAACGATCTGAATTCTGTGATTTATTCCATTGTTGACATCACAAATCCTCGACCACCTGGCAAAAATTATTGGAGGTTGGTAAGGATGATTTGCCATTTCCACTATATAGTTTGACCTTGCACCTTCTGGTTATTTTTTGTTTCGATCTTTACAAAACTCTGTGAATGGTAAAGAATTCAATAATTATGATGGCGCCAAATTGTACTTGATCCAGTATTTTGCTAATAAAAACCAAAAGTTTTATGGAAGTGGAATATTGATGTTGCTTGAAAGATGACAAAAAGTTATTGATCAAAATGGACAATTTGACATTATAGAATAAATTTATTTAGTTCCATATTTGGCATACCTTAGAAAAAATTGATATAGGCGTGTTTATGTATGTGTGTGTGTGATACAAATTTTCGTTTCGGAAATACGGATTGATTTGAATAATTCAAAAACAAGTCGATTTTTATTGATAAGGGAACGGACTGATTAGTTTTTGGCAAAAGCAGGTCCAGTCGTTTCGAAAACACGGAGCAGTGCCAAAAATGGTAATTCAGTTTTTGAGATAACGGAGCGTCTGATTGGAATGATTCAAAAAACATTTCTTTTTTATTGACGGAATAAAAGAGAGACTTGAACAAAGAAAGAGACTCTTGACAAGAGCCTGAAATAATATCTATTATTATTGATTACGGCTTGCTTATGAATAAATAAATAAATAAAATAAATAAAGAAATGAAAACCGAATGAATTATTTGGTAGGCAGCTTCAGCGGTCTCGCAGATCTAATAAAATAGTAAAAGAATGAAATTTAATGGTCAAGAATGATCGTTAGACATATGCAAATCAACATATCAGATATTTTATAGAGATTTTAATAATAAGTGCAAAGGGTATGGGCGCATTGCCATACAGAATCGACACCACCCTGGTTTTTAAACAATTTATACGCCATTTTTTCAATCTCACTTTTTGGCGCAACCATAAAAGATATCGAAAAATTTTTTACGTAATTCTTCTCACATTGACTCAGACCATATTATGTAAAACAATCGATGCGAAAAAATCGTTTATTATCAGCTGAAAAAGATAAAATAATTTTTCATGTTTGTTTGCATTTTTTATATTTCCGGGTAGTGCGTTTTGTTGGACCACTTTCTAATTAGCGTTATTTGAAAGCCTATTGTTTTTTCTAAGTACTGCAAATATTGTTCAAATCAGTTAAGTGGAAGAAATATAAAAAAAAAGTTTTTCAGAAAAGTTATTTTTTTTTTAAATTACAAATTTCTTAAAAACCTATTTTTTCAGTTTCCAAAAAATTTTAAAGCTTTTTTTAAAAATTAATGTTTGGTGCCGAAAGTTCTAGCAATTTACCTTTTGGCACAATGACTACTAGTTTGTTCTTTGAATTTGTTTCTATTTATAAAAATCATGACCTTTGCCTTAAATATCAAATTTTATTAGTGAATTCGTTTATGATTAATTATTATATTATGATATATTATTCGTCTTAATATTAATTATTAAAACTTAATTATTATGACATTACGAATCAATTTACAATGATAACAATTACTTGTTTCTATTTATAATAATAATGACAATTTCCTTTCCCCTTTCAGACAGCGCGCTGTTGAGCAACGGCGGCAGTTTGTCAGCGTGGGGCGGCGGCACCGTATCGGGACCGGGCAGCGGGACGGCTCCGTCCGCCGCCTCGGTCCCTCCCGGAGCGGGCGGGGGGCCGCCGGGCTCCGGGACGGGGACGGGTCCCGGAGGAGGCAATGGCGCTCCGCCTGGAGGACCCGGAGCGGTACCGACGAACGCGGTTCCTCTCGGCGTTTCTCCGGACGATATGGCGGACAAACATCATCTGTTGGATGTTGGCGGCGGCATTGGGGGAGGAAATGGAGGCGATAGTGATGTAAGTAGAAAAAGAAATACGAATTTTTTTTTACTTTTTTATAAAAGTGGATCGTACATATTTATTAATTGATATGTGATTAGATATCTTGTTTGAAACTCAATCAAGTTGGTATTGGTATTTTGCCTTGAGGTAAGTTACATGAACTTCCCGATAAGTGTGAATAATCAACTTAATCAAGAAAAAATAAATTAATTTATGAGTGATTAAAAGTATTCTGAGTGGATTTATTACACATAATTGAAAACGAACGAACTTGTTAACTCGGAATATTTTCTTAAAGCAAATTTTCACAAATCAATAATTTTTTATAATTGAACCAGTTTCCGTAGGACTTTAACGGTTTAGTATGTTCATTAAGACCAAGTACTCTATCGCTATACCAAGTGAATCGTCTAATTTTAATTTTAACAAACGTCAAATGAGTAGTTTAATCATTTTCTCAAACTTTGATGATTTTTTAAAATTAAACTACTTGTCGTAAGATTATAATATTTCAGTAAGTTCTATAAGACTATGATATATATCGCCAAAAAAAGTTCCATAAAAATCGGCTTAAGTTTTTTTTTCAACAGTTTATTACAAGAAAACGTCTCGGTAGATTTCCACCTAAAACTAATCAGTATCATTCTTAACTATATCTTTCGAAAAGTTTTTGATTTTTTAAAATCGATTTGGTAGTATGAGCTTAAATGTGGACGACAAGTTTAACACTTTTTTCCAAATTATAAAGAAACGGTTCGGCAGATCGTCTCACAAACTGACAAACGATAGTCCTCATCGAGATACATCGAATTTTTAAAATCGTTTTTGAGAAAACGTGAATTTACAGCAAAAAATCCGTTCACACACACACATACTTTTTCCAAATTTGGTCTCAATCGTTTCAGAATGGCTTGAAACGTCGAGAAAACATAAAATTAGCGATTCGAATTTTTTGATAAAAACATAAACTTCTACTTCGAGAAGTTAACAAGTCATATTTATTACCAGAATATTTACTAGAATCGTCAGTCGTTTTTTTTCTTGCCATTATATTCAGTTTCTCTTTTTCATTTAAGGAGCATCCATCATTTTAATTATCCATTTTTAAGGGTTTTTGAACCCCTCTCTCCCCCCTGGTGATACATGCTAATATATAAAATTAACCCTTTCTTCCCCATCAAACTACACGTGTATTTTTAGTGTCTAGAAAAAGCTTTAAATTTTTGGATTTTTTTAAAAAATATGGTAAATTTAAATTTAGGTAAAAAATATTTGCACGTGATATCTAACTAAACCCTTCCTTCATGTGATGTTTCGTGATTTTTTGTCAAACCTGACAACCTTTTCAAACCTCACGCAATTAATAGAATCTTTCTGAATATTACCTTGTGATCAAATATAATGCTCTATATTTTACTTTGAATTTCAATTTTTATTGGATTTTATAATCTGTATAAATTATAAATGGTAGTCTGCCCGAAGGCAGGTTCGTGGTGTGGAAGCCATCACAAATCAATGATTCTTTTTTCCTTTCTTATTTATCATTCCTACTACTATTGAACACTTTAATGCATTTTTCTTACAAACTTCTGCTTCCATGTTTCCTGATCCCGCGCTTCGGCTTTCAGTTCCCTGTATTTCCTCGTTTCGCGCAAATCATCAATCATCTGCATTTTTCTTCTTTCCTTCCCTTTTAGTTCTCTTCTTTTGCAGAATGGCACTCCTTTTGCAGAATGGGTCTGATCCAGTTTATATATTTAGAGATTTTATTCAAAGTTCATAAAAATAATACGAAACTTTTTGAACCATACGAGTAATACAATATATTTATTAACAAATTATTATAAAAATTACAATATTCGGTTTGTATGTAGTACTAACAATAGATCCTCTCATACTTCTATGAAAATCATATCATTTGTCATTTAACTAGTTAATTGAGTTTACGATCATACTCGTCATGGAGTATCAGCAGAATTCTGTGCATTGACGAGTATATTCGTCATTCGTATAAATCGCTAACCATTGGCTATTTAATTCTCAATTTCTGGAGAAATGAAAACATTTGAAAATTTCTGTTATATTTATGATATTAGGCGGAATAAAATAAGTTGTTGTAAGTGGCATTTTACCTTAGAACTTCTCGATATGTGTTATTTAAATTAAATTTTTTACTGTTTATTTCGATAATAGAGTTTTTGTTCTCACTAAAAACTAATCAATGTGAAATCGCATTCGATGTATCTTAAACAAACTTATAGTATATACAATTTTATTAATTTAATTTAATTTATTTTGTTATAACCCATTTCTTAAAAATAAATTTTATTTAAGAATGCGCGTCAACGGTTATCAGCAAAAAAAAATAGAACGAAATTCTTGGTACTAATCCGGTAAGATGTACTAAGGGTACTAATATCAAACTTTAATGAATTTTTACAATAAAACTACGTTTCATTGGCCTATAATATTTTATAATGTTTGTGTCAATTCACATCAAGAATTTGATTTCTTCCGTTTGATATATTTTTAAACTCAGAAGTAAAATATGGTAATAAAATTTACAATTTTGCAAAAAAGCCCATCTTCTTCACTCGATTTAAAAGCAAGTAGCAAATTACTCAAAACACAAATTTGATATACAATACATGACTATCAAATAATAATTACAAAATTATTTATAGTTATCGCCATTATAGCAAAAATAATACAAATTATATGCTCGTGATTATTCTTGGCAATTATATTTAATATTTGCAATGTAAACATTCTTTTATTATTGAAATTCAATTATAAAAGTATTGAATAATAGTGATCTGTAACAAATTATTTCTGCCATAGGATGAAAAAGAGTTGTCAGCTGCAGATGCAGAAGGTGTCTGGTCACCAGATATTGAACAGAGTTTTCAAGAAGCCCTTGCAATATATCCACCTTGTGGGAGAAGAAAAATTATATTATCAGATGAAGGAAAGATGTATGGTAAGTCTATTGAAAAATCTATCAATATTAATAATATTAACAGAAATATTATTTTCAACTATTGCCTGATAGAGTTGTTTGAGATTAGTGCAAGTACAATGGAAATTTTGTAGAATACATATATGAATATTGAGTCAACTAGTTAGTATTATACAAATGCGTGAACAAACTGACAAAGTTAGGGGCCAATTCTCCGATAAAATAGAAATGTTTTTGTCCTTTCTTTATATAAAATGGTAGTAAAAATAATGGAAATGTTACTCATAAAACCTAACTTCACGAATGTGTTATCAAGGACAAATTAAAAAGATGCACTTATGATTATATTGTGGGTTTTTAAGTAAGGTTTTATATCTCAAACGCCTGACTATGCAGCAAGTATATAGCTTTTTGTCAGTTTTTACTGCTAATTTATATAAATATTGGACAGTAACATTTCTGTTTTACCGAAGAATTTTGGCCTTTATCTTCTCAAGTACAATATTAACACAAATTCACATCTGGCAAAATATATGAATCGATGACTGCAAATTTGAAGGCATCTATAATCTGTATTAGAATTTGATAAATTAGAATGTTTTCAGTTTAATTATATCAATTTTATCACATTTTTGAGAATGTGGACTGTATTTACTCCTTGTGCTACAACTAATCATATTTATGCGTGATGTGTTGCATTGCAGTCTGGCGTATATACAATTATTAAGATTTTTGGTTGGTCGTTTATCAAATACCTAATCGATTAATTTTATGTAAGAAAATACAAATTTATGCTAATTAATTATTTTTCACCGTTCTTATTTAATAGTAAACCAATTTTGCGTGGGATATTTTATTTTATAATCAATTTTTCACTCAAAAATCACGAATTTTGGAGGAGATCAACCTCCGAAATATTTTTAAGTAGTGGAAATTAATTAAGAACGATAAAATAATTATTCAAATATTGTGAAAAATGTATGTGTTAGTAGCTTAATTTTCATCTTGTTATATAATACAGATATTTTTTCAAACCCTGATATTCATTCTACAAATAAATCTAAGACGAAACTCATTCATGTGTATATAATATGCGTTGTCCGGTTCGAATCCTTTTCTTCAAATAATTCTCACACTCACAAACTAATAACAGCAGACCTGTGGCTGGTGGCCATATTAGTAATTGAAAAATTTCTTTTGTTTTAAGAAAAAAAACATCCATCAGTACTAGAACTATGGGTTCTATGAGCTGTAATTACTGTCATATATACCCAGTACATTTCTTGAAAGGGCAACCCAGCGGTCAACCATTCTTTTTCCATTCTAATCCTAATCTAATATAAAATATCCTAATTAATTACAGTAAAATACAACCCTAAAACAATATTAAGCCTAACATTAACTGTAGTAATGCAATAACTTGAAGAAAAAATGTTATAATATTGAGATAGTTTATATTGATGGCGTGTATGTGTTGCAGCAATGCTCGCGAAAAACAATTTCACTTGGGATCATATTTGAAATCCTAAACTTCAAGTTGAAGTTTTATATTATACTGCTTGATTTTGAGCTAGCCGATGATTGGATTGGAACCGGAGCTAGTTTGTGCCGAATTGCTAATCTCTACACTACGACGGGTTCAATTAAAAATTTTGTAAATATAAAGGGGTTGGAAAAAATAATTTTTGATATAAGAATAAGAATGTTATTTTGTTCGTTAGCAAGCTGCAAATAAATCAATAACAAATTGTGAGATGGATTATTAAAATGATTTGGATCACAATTGGATAAAAATAATTTGCAACATCTTCGATTTCGTAAAAATATATAATAAACGATCGATATAAATATTCGATTTAGCAACGTTAAGATACCTTTCATGAAGAGTAGTATAAACTCATTTTTTCGAAACAGTTAGTTTTTGCATATTTATAACACATTGAATTGCCTACAAACAGTTTTCAAATAGAAAAATCTTCCAAATTTATTCCTGGTTTTTATCTATTAGCACCTATCGCTCTAAAATTCAAAGAAAATTTATTAAAAAAAATTAGTATTTGATCCATCTGAACTTCAGTTAACTTTAGAAAAGTGATTCCGAAAGTGATCTCTCTTGATCAGCAGGGATTCATGTCAACTTTTAATGATCCACAAAATGAAAATGGAGGTCCACGGTATTACAACATACCATCTTATTACTTATATCATACTATCTATAATATAAGTTATTCTTTTACAAACCGAACACCAATTAACCTTGACATTTTAGAATTGTCTGAAAATTTGTTTACAGATACTATTCATAAAATCATTTGACACGTTTTTCAGGATTTTACTGAAAAAAAAAAATTTTATGTAAATATTTACGATTGAAATATGGATTTTTTGCTCAATTTCATGTGCGGTAAATTAATTATTTCCGGATGTGCTGATCGGATCAGTATTATTTTTTTTTATTACACTCATATTGAAATGAACTTTGTAATGATTAATTTTTTTTTTTGTTTTTGCAATTTTCTTAACAATAACAACCCTTAAATATTTACAAAGGTTTTACTCAGCCTTACCCCAACTTGAATCGATCCAAAAAAAACATATTTTTTCTTTTTTTTCTCTGCAACAAAATTCTTTTTACAATTTGTTGGGGACTTTGTTACATCGAAAGATATTAAATATTTTCAAGTGCGAGCCGCGCTTTTCACGTCGGGGACCTCAGAAACTTGTACTCATTTGTCACTTTCGAATGACAATCTTATTGTTTTTCGGTTGAAAAAATATTTTATAATTTCGCTTCTGGCGAAAAATGAATATATAGTCGAAAAAAAACATTAGGGGAGAGCGGAGCTTAAAAGTTCGTGGGTAAAAAGATCCACTGCCATTATCTCAAAAGTTCATTACAAAGTTCACTTCAATATGAGTGTTCAATACTGATCCGATCAGCACATCCGGAGATAATTAATTTACCGCAGATGATATTCATAGAAATTGAGCAAAAAATCCATATTTCAATCGTAAATATTTACGTAAAAAATTTTTTTTCAGCAAAATCCTGAAATGCGTGCCAAATGATTTTATGTATAATATTTGGTAAAAAAATTTCAGACAATTCTAAAATGTGACATTTTATTTTTTCGAAAATCCGTACGATTTGTAAAAGAATGCTCCTTATACACAATTTTTAAAAATGGACCGAAAAACTAAAAAAATATTGTACATTTTTATAAAGATGTATAAAAATGTCGATGTCAAGTAAATAGGAGGACCATGGCACAGCTCAAGAGATCCACGACCCAAAAAGGTTCGGTGATCTATGCATCTAAAGTCTTGAAGGAGGCACAAAGTTTTAGTGTAAGATCTTTCACTAGCTTCTGGTTTATTTTATTCTAAAAAGTCCATTCTTAGAAAACTGATACGTCAGCCCGTTCTCCTTTGACCGCTGGACCGAGCCATGGTCATTTCCTTTGTGACGTCCTCCTCAAGGAAGGGGTCGTCCAGTTGACTAGTGGATGTGTGTGAAGTCGCGTTGGGCGCACGGGCGAGGCTGTGATGAGAAGGGTTGGCTGAGAAAGAAATTCGACATGAAAGGAGTCGAAGGATAGATTTCTAAATATTTGACAAAAGGAAAAGTTGTATTGACAGAATTTTCTAAACTATGCATAGGGAGGAATTGGGGAACAGATATTTTGAATATCTGGCGGAATTGTTATAATAGTAATATGTGCTTCGCCGGAAGACAGGTCTGAGGTAAAAGGTGACATTTTTTTCTACCGCCACATACTTATGTTATTCTTTGAACTTTGAAAAATTTAATTCATTTTTTCCATATTTTGTTTTTTAATAAACAGATTGTTTATCTGGTGGAACTTTAATAATAGTGCTTCATTACTTAAAGCCAAGTACATGGTAGCAAGTCAATTTATTTATCTATTTCATCTATCGATTTCACTTGTATAGATATATTATTTTTTTACTTTAAATTTTAATTTTATTTAAAATTTATTTGGGATATATCAATTAGCTATCTCTAAAGATAAGTAGTCATTAGCTTCCTCTAAATATAAGTCGAGCAATTTTTTTGTAATTAAAAGTTAACATTTTCTTGCCTGATTATGAATATTTGATACTTGGCAGTTTCCAAGTTATGATACATTAATTGATCGTTAATTAGAAATTTATCAACCTATGATAATTATTAATCGTGTTCTGTCCGAAGGCAGATCCATGGTATGTAAGCAGTATATTTAATTTACACCACTGTTTTCCCTTGTACATAGATCACTTTTTACTTTTCAAACTTCTCCTTTGATGGCTGCATGACCTAGGTTTTCTTGTCCCATAAGTCATCCAACATCTGCATTCTATAGTTCTTTTAGTTTTTCTATTTTTTTTTCTACAGCGTCAACCAATAGAAAATTTTTGTTTATATTCAATAGGTACTTGTTGATGAATATTAGATTTCAGAAAGTTAATACATGTTGCCATTGACAACTTGTTTCTTTCGCAAGTTTGACTTTCAGAAATGACCTCTGATATACTCTTTTGTGATTTTGATGACACTTCGAATTGGTAGTCAAAACAAAACCCTTAAATTTTAAGTGCTGAGGTTAAGACGACAGATTCTCAAGTTTTATGCATTTGAATTTTACAATTCAAATCGTGCCAGGGCGTAAATTCATTTATCATATGTTATTAATTTATTATATATATTTCTCAAATAACAATTGAATTTACTTGAAGAAATTAGTCAATTTTTATACATATTTTATATTTACCATGCTGTTCCATTTTGTATTGGTTGAGCTCATGGACCCGTATGGACGTAGTTGTGAGTTTGAAGCCCGTTCTGGACAACCTGATGTCATGCAGTCGAGGTGTCCATTTTCACTTGAAAATATAGATCAAAAATATGTTTCCAATTGAATATATCCCATTTCGGACACTACGGTGTTATATGGATGGAAAATCTCTTACAATATTTTTCTCTGAAATAGTTGGAGTTTAACTCACCTTTGTTAATTTTA